CAGTGTGTGAGGCTGGGCGGGCTGAGCGCATGCGCAGTGTGTGAGGCTGGGCGGGCTGAGCGCATGCACAGTGTGTGAGGCTGGGCGGGCTGAGCGCGTGCGCAGTGTTTGAGGCTGGGCGTGTGCGCAGTGTTTGAGGCTGGCTGGGTACGTGCGCAGTGTGTGAGTCTAGGCTGAGCACGTGCGCAGTGTGTGAGGCTGGGCGCGTGCGCAGTGTGTGAGGCTTGGCTGGTTGGGCGCGTGCGCAGTGTGTGAGGCTGGGCTGGGCATGTGTGCGGATGGGCTGGGCGTGTGCGCAATGTGTGAGGCTGGGCTGGCTGAGCGCATGTGTAGTGTGTGAGGCTGGGCGTGTGCGCAGTGTGTGAGGCTGGGTGGGCGCATGCGCAGTCTGTGAGGCTGGGTGAGCGCGTGCGCAGTGTGTGAGGCTGGGCTGGCTGGGCGCATGCGTGAGGCTGGGCGTGTGCAGTGTGTGAGGCTCGGCGCGTGCGCAGTGTGGGGTAGGGAGATTACAGAGTGAATGATCAGGTCTCCCTACCCCCATACTGCGTATGCACGGTGTAATCCCGCGGTGTGGCTGATGGTGTTCTATCAAATTCCCCTACCTGGTGAAAATCCCCTACCCTCGTCACTTCCGGTGAGGGGAATCAGCTGGATCCTGTGCTGCACATGAATAGTGATTTTTCACACTTTATTTTAACCCTTACCCCAAGGGTTAGGGTAAGAATAGAGTGTGAGAGAGGTTAGAATCACTTACCTAACCCTAATTTGAACCCTCACTTAACCCTAAATGTCCCGTGTGCCTAAGCTTAGTGAATGCACTAACTATAATGAAAGTGTAAAACTAGCTTTACTTACCTTCCAGGACCTGGCTGTGTTACTTACCTTCCAGGACCTGGCTGTGTCGCTGTGTTACTTACCTTCCAGGACCTGGCTGTTTCACTGTGTTACTTACCTTCTAGGACCCGGCTGTGTTATTTACCTTCCAGGACCTTGCTGTGTTACTTACCTTCCAGGACCTGGCTGTGTCGCTGTGTTACTTGCCTTCCAGGACCTGGCTGTGTTACTTACCTTCCAGGACCTGGCTGTATCGCTGTGTTACTTGCCTTCCAGGACCTGGCTGTGTTACTTACCTTCCAGGACCTGGCTGTGTCGTTGTGTTACTTACCTTCCAGGACCTGGCTGTGTTACTTACCTTCCAGGACTTGGCTGTGCTACTTACCTTCCAGGACCTGGCTGTGTTAATGGCTGTGTTACTTACCTTCCAGGACCTGGCCGTGTTAATGGCTGTGTTACTTACCTTCCAGGACCTGGCCGTGTTACTGACCTTCCAGGACCTGGCTGTGTTACTTACCTTCCAGGGCCTGGCTGGGTTACTTACCTTCCAGGGCCTGGCTGTGTTTTTTACCTTCCAGGACTTGGCTGTGTTACTGGCTGTGTTACTTACCTTCCAGGACCTGGCTGTGTTAATGGCTGTGTTACTGACCTTCCAGGACCTTGCTGTGTTACTGTGTTACTTACCTTCCAGGACCTGGCTGTGTTAATGGCTGTGTTACTTACCTTCCAGGACCTGGCTGTTACTTACCTTCCAGGACCTGGCTGTGTTACTGGCCGTGTTACTTACCTTCCAGGACCTGGCTGTGTTACTTACCTTCCAGGACCTGGCTGTGTTAATGGCTGTGTTACTTACCTTCCAGGACCTGGCTGTGTTAATGGTTGTGTTACTTACCTTCCAGGACCTGGCTGTGCTACTTACCTTCCAGGACCTGGCTGTGTTAATGGCTGTGTTACTTACCTTCCAGGACCTTGCTGTGGAGGAGTAGCAGCATGGGCAGCACAGGATCCAGCTGATTCCCCTCACCGGAAGTGACGAGTTAGGGGAATTTCATAGGACAGCTCGCACATCCCCCTCACCCGAGCTGAAGCTCCAGGCGCATGCGCAGTGTTTACCGGCTTCGCGCATGCGCATTAGGTGGCCGCGTCTCGCACAGCTGCCTGTAACGCTCCCTACCCGAGGTTCTGCGCTTGCGCAGCGTCACACGCCCCGTCCTCCAGCTGATCTACGTCACTTCCGGTGCGGCCTCAGGAGGGTCACTGCCCCCTCCCACCAAGAGATATATCAGCCAATCACCGGGGACCCGGGAGAGACCATTCAGCTACCACAGGTAGGGAGGGTTGGAATTAACTATCTATATATATCTGTATACATAGGGGGGGGGGAGAGACTCTGTCAGTGTGTGTATCTCTATCAGTGTGTGTGTCTCTGTCAGTGTGTGTGTCTCTGTCAGTGTGTGTCTCTGTCAGTGTGTGTCTCTCTGTCAGTGTGTGTCTCTCTGTCAGTGTGTGTCTCTGTCAGTGTGTGTCTCTGTCAGTGTGTGTTTCTCTGTCAGTGTGTATCTCTGTCAGTGTGTATCTCTGTCAGTGTGTATCTCTGTCAGTGTGTGTCTCTCTGTCAGTGTGTCTCTCTGTCAGTGTGTGTGTCTCTGTCAGTGTGTGTCTCTGTCAGTGTGTGTGTCTCTGTCAGTGTGTGTCTCTGTCAGTGTGTGTGTCTCTGTCAGTGTGTGTGTCTCTGTCAGTGTGTGTGTCTCTGTCAGTGTGTGTGTCTCTATCAGTGTGTGTGTGTGTCTCTGTCAGTGTGTGTATCTCTGTCAGTGTGTATCTCTGTCAGTGTGTATCTCTGTTAGTGTGTGTCTCTGTCAGTGTGTGTGTCTCTATCAGTGTGTGTGTCTCTGTCTGTGTGTCTCTGTCTGTGTGTGTATCTCTGTCAGTGTGTGTGTCTCTATCAGTGTGTGTGTCTCTATCAGTGTGTGTCTCTGTCTGTGTGTGTATCTGTCAGTGTGTGTATCTCTGTCAGTGTGTGTATCTCTGTCAGTGTGTGTATCTCTGTCAGTGTGTGTCTCTGTCAGTGTGTGTATCTCTGTCAGTGTGTGTCTCTGTATCAGTGTGTGTGTCTCTATCAGTGTGTGTGTCTCTATCAGTGTGTGTCTCTGTCAGTGTGTGTGTCTCTGTCAGTGTGTGTGTCTCTGTCAGTGTGTGTGTCTCTATCAGTGTGTGTATCTCTATCAGTGTGTGTCTCTGTCAGTGAGTGTGTATCTGTCAGTGTGCGTGTGTATCTGTCAGTGTATCTCTGTCAGTGTGTGCGTGTGTCTCTGTCTGTGTCTCTGTCTGTGTGTGTCTCTGTCTGTGTGTATCTCTGTCAGTGTGTGTGTATCTGTCAGTGTGTGTGTGTCTCTGTCAGTGTGTGTGTCTCTGTCAGTGTGTGTGTCTCTGTCAGTGTGTGTGTGTCTCTGTCAGTGTGTGTCTCTGTCAGTGTGTGTCTCTGTCAGTGTGTGTCTCTGTCAGTGTGTGTCTCTGTCTCTGTGTGTCTCTGTCTGTGTGTCTCTGTCTGTGTGTCTCTGTCTGTGTGTGTCTCTGTCTGTGTGTCTCTCTGTCTGTGTGTGTCTCTGTCTGTGTGTGTCTCTGTCTGTGTGTGTCTCTGTCTGTGTCTCTGTCTGTGTCTCTGTCTGTGTCTCTGTCTGTGTCTCTGTCTGTGTCTCTGTCTGTGCGTGTCTCTGTGCGTGTCTCTGTGCGTGTCTCTGTCTGTGCGTGTGTGTGTCTCTGTCAGTGTGTGTGTGTGTGTGTGTCTCTGTCTGTGTCTCTGTCAGTGTGTGTGTGTGTGTGTGTGTCTCTGTCAGTGTGTGCGTGTGTCTCTGTCAGTGTATCTCTGTCAGTGCGTGTGTCTCTTTGTCAGTGTATCTGTCAGTGTGTGTGTGTATCTGTCAGTGTGTGTGTGTGTGTCCGTGTCTCTGTCAGTGTGTGCGTGTCTCTGTCAGTGTGTGCGTGTCTCTGTCAGTGTGTGCGTGTCTCTGCCAGTGTGTGCGTGTCTCTCTGCCAGTGTGCGTGTGTCTCTCTGCCAGTGTGCGTGTGTCTCTCTGCCAGTGTGCGTGTGTCTCTCTGCCAGTGTGCGTGTGTCTCTCTCAGTGTGTGTGTGTGTGTGTGTGTGTCTCTCTGTCAGTGTATCTCTGTCAGTGTGTGTGTGTGTCTGTCAGTGTGAGTATGCCTCTGTCAATGTGTGTGTGTCTGTTTGTCAGCGTGTGTGTCTTTTTAGGTACCTTCCCCCTTCCGATTACATTATTGGTGTTTTTACTCACTTTTTCCCCCCCACGCCGTGCTGGTTTCGTCGTGGCTTGTCCCGCCTCCATAGCTGAGATCTTAATGATCTCAGCTAAGCCAATGCTTTTCCATAGGAAAGCACTGGGAGGATATTGAGCATGTTCTCAATGGGTAACATTCAGCGCCTCCATGCAGAGCACTGACACAGGACTCTCTAATGGCCGTCTGAGTGACTGTCACTAGAGGTTTTAGTAGGCAGCAATGTAAATGCTGCCTTTTATCTGAAAAGGCAGTGTTTACATTGAAAAGGCTACAGGGACAGGCAATAGGCACCGGAACAACTACATTAATCTGTAGTGGTTCTGGTGACTATAGTGTCCCTTTAAAAAAAAAAAAAAAAATGGCTCCTAGATTCCAAACAAATTTGTCAAGCCCTGGTGTAATGTGTGTAGTTCACTCTGTGTGTATAGTGCAAGCACGGAGTCTGTTGATGTATAGTGTAAGCACAGGGGCTGTTAGTGTGTGATGTGCACAATGTAAACATGGGTGCTGTTAGAGGGCAATGTGTTTAGTGCTAACACACAAAAAACCATTTCTCTCAAGAGCATAATGTGAATTGTGCAAACACAGGATTTTTAGTTTGCAATGAATATAGTGAAAAATAAAAGGGGATTTTTAGAGTGCAGGTTAGGGGGAGTTAGTTTGTATAGTACAAGCATAGAGGATACTAGTGTGTAATTTAGCGCAAGCACATGGCCTGTTTTATTTGGTGGCATTCATCAACTATGCATTACACGCTGGTATTTGATGTGCTTTTCATGCTTTGTGGACATTGTGGTTTGATAATATATTATGGTATAGTCTTCACTGTAAAAAAAAAAATACATTCTTTTGTGATTTTTAATTAAACATTTTTTATATGTTTATTTGTTTTTCTTATTTCATCAGGTAACAATGACTACACTAACACGCCAAGACTTGAACTTTGGACAAGGTAATGGCAGTAATTTTGCATTATGAAATACATGTACCAATTCCATTTAATCATATGTTCTCTGTTAGGAATGAAGGACGTGTTCAGACCTGGGCACATTTCTCTGGTGCCAATAAGGGTATTAGTCAAAACTCCCTCTTTTACCATCTTCAGTTAAAACATAAATAAAAACAGAGCACTATATTGTCAGTCGATTGCACACCCCAAAAAAATATACATTTTCTGTCTTCTTTTATTCAGAATTCACAGCAGTCAATGATTAAAAAACATAAATACAAAAGAAGCCCACGATTGTGCGGAATATCAGAATTTTACAATCACCTCACAGTATAACATACTAAAAATTTAATAGACACATTTTTTGCGAACTCTGGGGAGACATCAGGGAGATATGGCACTGACCTCTCTACGCTGCCCTGTGTTGAAATATATATTTTAAAATTAGGGGGTGTGAGTTCAGTGGTGTCCTATTCCTGCACCAGGTCCTTAGTGAAAGCTTCTCCGAATCATTAAACTATTTAGCCTAATCGTATCAACACCTGTATAAGCTGTATTGTTGTGCTGTATGTCCATTACTGTATTAAACAGCAGATGATTCTTCTATAAAGTAGTTTATGGATATATTTCAGCTTGTGTTAATTGTTCTAGTACTACGCCTATTATATACAATACTGGGGACAAGTGTTTGGTAAAATATAATGGTCACATAATGCATTAAATTGCTACAGTGATGCTGAGCTAACATGTACTTTGTATTTCCCTTAGTTGTTGCTGACATTTTATGTGAATTTCTCGAAGTGGCTGTTCATCTCATACTCTATGTTCGTGAAGTTTACCCCATTGGGATTTTCCAGAAAAGAAAGAAATACAATGTGCCAGTACAGGTCAAGTATACGTTAATTTTGTATTTGTACTGTGTAAAACCAAGTGTGATGTCCTTAAAGTGCAAGGTGGGTGGCATTTTATAAAACACAGCATTTCAATAATAAATTACTAACAGTATAGATTACATTTTATTTGTGTACTATGTGCAATCAGCATTGACATACAAACCAAACGCATGGTGGGTGTTTGACAGCCTGCTGGGCATTATATATGTATAGAGCACAGTTGTACATGCAGTCTGCAGTAGAGGTCCACATCCATATTACCGTTCCTGGTGATTTTGCTATCACACTGTATAGATTATCTGAAGCAAGCTTGTGCATTTAAAGATGGTGCCCTAGTTAATTCTTAGTAATGTAGGCTGAATCTCTTTTGGAGTGGGAATTGACAACAGGCAACACGGTAAAATAGCTTTAATCAGATATTTCTTGAATCCTTTGTAGATGTCGTGTCATCCAGAACTGAACCGCTATATCCAAGACACGCTGCACTGTGTGAAACCGCTTATAGAAAAGGTAAGAAATGACATGTGATAATGTAGTGCAAGTGTAACATTTAATCGGCACCTCGAAAATGTAGACGTTATCTAAAAGAACAGTATGTAGGGAATCCTCTTGATGCTGTGTATATTGATTAACTGGCAATGGATGTGGCAACACTCCAGGTGGATTAAGTGTACAAACTCATCTTTCCCAGAATCAAGCTGGGAATCCCGAGAGAGAATTCCTAGACAAGGTAAAGCTGCGGCAGTATGTTATCCCTTTAACTATATGCAGAGCTGCAGCTACTAAACCTGGAACTTTCATCTGCTGTGTATGATGCTAAATTCACAAACTGTAAGTTTAACCTTTATTGATGGGATTTCAGGAATTGTGAATATACTAGACTCGCCTACTGGTACTGCACGCCCCAAAAAACTAACACCTGTACCCCACTCTGGATCCGGGTGCTGAGAGAGAGAATTGAGAACCTCATCCACGTCTGGTGGAGATGTTCTAAACTCAAGCCATCCAGAATGCTATTCATACAGTTATTTCACAGCCAGAGGACACCCCACTCCCATTCAATGAAGAAGCCTATCTGCTCCACCTTAATTGCCTTCCCGTGCAATGGTATCAAAAGTCTGTTCTACCTCATCTGACCGCTGCCTCATTTCCACCTTATGGAAAAGACTGGGAGGCACCTACCATACGGGACTGGATCTTTACAGTGGAAGAAATGTGCTTGTGTGAAGAACACATCCCATGGCCTCAGACAACCACCTACGCCACATTTGGATGTGGTTACAATAGATTAAATTGCTCTCTGATTGGTCTATAGCTGGGGGTATATCCGCTGTAGTTCTCCCAAATCCCCAGTGAAGCAGTGATTATAGCTCCAAATTCCCCAAACATCAGTCTAGACTGATGAAGGGTAGAAACGAATGATCTGAGCGCCCAAGTTAGTGCTCAGATCTATGCAGTGTAGGGGAAATGCCACCGTGCCAAAGTTCTGACTGGCCGCACACCTGGTCCGATGCCCAAAACAGTTCCATGGCGTTTGGTGCTTTTGACGGTCAACTTTAGGGAACTCCTGTGGCCACAATACAGGGTGCTCCACCTGGCTCTTTTGTAGCGTTTGTCTCAGGCACCTTCTCTCCAAAAAGTGCTCACCTGGCGGATTTCAAAGTCGCTCAAAACCCTGGACCAAGTTGTCCGGGAGCTGCACGGTCACCTCATACCGAAAAAGTACGATAACATTTGCGGCTAAGTCCCGCTTAGGTGACCGGAAACCTACCGAATTTAGTTCCATAACTATCGCGGCTAAGTACCGCTGAGGACAATTTGTGGGTTTCTTCATGCGAACGGCTGCCAGGGAGCTAGTTTTCGCTTCCATTCGAATTAAGGGAAAGTGCTGAACCAGGGAAAGCTGCCAATGGAGGCTGGGGAAATTAAACTCCCGAACAGGGTCTTTGTATGTGGCCATTGTCCTTGGGCAGGAGGCTAGCAGGCTCCTCCAGGAGTTCGTGACAAACGTCCAGGATAAGCAGTGTTTGTCACAGCCCAAATCCCCCTAGTCTTGTGGTGGGATCTTTACCCCTGATGGTGTGGTCTCACATGGTCCCTTGACCAAAGTCACATACTAACCCCTATCACTCTCCCTTCTCCTGACTTCTACTTCTACACTATACTTTAACTAACTTACCATCTTCTAACTCAGCCCATCCCTCCCCCCTGCTTTTTTTTTTTTTCTTTCTTCTGCCCTCTAATTTAGTTATTTAAAGGGAAACTCCAGTGCCAGGAAAAAAATCAATTTTCCTGGCACTGCAGGTCCCCTCTCCCTCCCACCTCCCAACCACCCTGCCGTTGTCCCTTGGTGGTGGTTGCTTCTCGCCGCCGCTCCTCCCAGTCATTACGTCGGCCGGTGGGCGAGACTGATCCCGCCCACCGGCCGGGGAAACCTAATGGGCATGCGCATTAGAGCTCTCCATAGGAAAGCATTGAAAATGCTTTTCAATGCTTTCCTATGGGAAATTGAGTGACGCTGGAGGTCCTCACACAGCGTGAGGACGTCCAGCGACGCTCTAGCACAGGTTTTCTGTGCTATAGAGCAGGAAGTGCTCTCTAGTGGCTGTCTAGTAGAAAAACTGCAATAATTACACTTGCAGGGTTAAGGGTAGTGGGAGTTGGCACCCAGACCACTCCAATGGGCAGAAGTGGTCTGGGTGCCTGGAGTGTCCCTTTAATACTGACATTTATAACATGCCAACATATTCCGCAGGGCTGTACAATTGGGAAAAAGACAACATGATAAGAATAAACCGACACAACAGGTAGAGGACCCTGCCCATGAGCTTACAATAGTCTATTGGACTATCGGTCCTGGTAATGACTGTACCATTCTGTCAACTTAGAGACAAGGGAACTTTTGGCACTCCCCCTGCCCCCCCTTTTGTTTAACTGCGTGGTTAACTGCCTCCTGCCATATGTGCTCCTGATAATCCAAGTTATCTGGATTCCTTTTCTGATATGGGCCAATCACATGCTTCTACCTTATTGTACATTGTCGCCACTAAAAGTGGAAACCAGTACGTGTAATCTTTCCTGATCTTTGTTGGGTTTTATGCTTATTTGCAATGAAAGGTAAAACATAAAAGCAGGACTATGATCCAGTACATTGTCTTGGAATCTAATTATCCGTACACTTTTCTTATGCACTCACCTACCCACACCATTTCCTTTTTTGTGTCCCCAGAATGATGTGGAAAAGGTAGTTGTGGTAATTTTGGACAAAGAGCACCACCCTGTGGAGAGATTTGTATTTGAAATTGCACAACCGCCCCTGCTTTCTATCAGGTAATACACACAGTGCTCTCTCATGGTTGCGTGTGTTTTTTTTTTTTTAAATGTATTTTTTTTGTATTCTGTTGTAATTTATTTATTTTTTCTCCCTCATAGTTCTGACTCCCTGCTGTCTCATGTTGAGCAGCTACTCCGTGCATTCGTTTTGAAGATCAGTGTGTGTGATGCTGTTCTAGATAATAACCCTCCAGGTATGGAGCTGAATATCGAACATTTTTAGACCTGAAATTACTATTGAGCAAGTCATCCTTAAAATATAACTTTACTGGCTGGAAATGTGTTGGTTTCCCTGGTAAGTAGTGTCTCCGTATATATGTAAACACACGTTGCTTTTACTATTAGTGAGACCTAATCTCACACCAGATCTATTTGAGGATACCATATTGAGAATCTAGTCTGGCACTTTTCTCTGCTTTTTTTTTTACCAGGATAGGGCGGATGAAGACAGGAACAGTTTTTAAAATGTTGAATTCTGAGTAATGTTTAAAAACCGTGTTAGCTTTATGAAAAGAAAAATGTTCTAGAGTTGGGTCATGACATTATATATTTATACACTCCAATCAGATTAAAGGGCCACTATAGCAAAATAAAAATATTTTGTAATAGTTATTTTATGTTAAAGGAACACTATATGTTCAGGAACACAATAGTGTTAAAACCACCCCCTTAAAAGGTAATAAAACTTGCGCCGCACAGGCCCTTCCCCCAGTCTGCCTCCTTGCTGACATCAGAATTTATGATTTTTATACAGGAAAGCATTGGATTGGCTGAAATCGGCAAGGGGGCAAGACAGGGGTGGGGCCAAATGCCGGCTTGGCCAATCAGCAGCTCCTTATAGAGATGCATTGAAACAATGCATCTCTGAGGAAAGTTCAGCGTCTGCAGCCAGAGGGTGGAGACACTGAATGTCAGTCACATTGTGCATCACTCCACCAGGAAGCAGCTCTAGAAGCCATCTGAGGAGTGGCCACAGGAGATGTCCCTAAGGGGCAATGTAAACACTGGGTTTTCTCTGAAAAGGCTGTGTTTGCATGAAAATGCCTGCCGGGAATGATTATACTCACCAGAACAAATACAAGCTATAGTTGTTCTAGTGACTTTAGTGTCCCTTTAATAGCCATGTGAAAGGGAATCTATATTGTGATTCTAACCAGTCTAGATTCACAAGCTGAGCAATAAAGAATACGCTGAAATATTTCCTTGGCATCGGTACTAATTAGAAGCAAGTAGATTTCTTTTCATTTCAGGAGATCTAAGGGCTTTTCTTTCTGTAATTTGCTAAGCTTATTGTCCGGGCATGTCTCAGTCCTTTGCTGGCAGCTCAGAGTCACACAGTGATTCCTCATGAACAATTCTGTTTCTATGATGCAGTTTTGGAGACTGGCAGCAATGATACAAATTTACAAGGTGTCTCTGCACGAGACAAGCTGATGTCTCTGTTATATGTGTGACAGCAGATGACAAACTGCAATTACAATATGCTTCTAAACAAAACACTTTACTGATCTACATTTAAAAACCGAACACATCAACACTTACACTTTTTAGTCAGGTTGTTAGGGGTAAAGTAAGAGTTGACGTTATTTTCTGTGGTTCTTGTCATTGTGTACAATTCTCATCCAGTGAAGGATAAGATTGATCACAGCCAAGTCTTGCGTTTCTTGCAGGTTGCACGTTTACTATCCTGGTTCATACAAGAGAGGCTGCCACCCGCAATATGGAGAAGATTCAGGTGATTAAGGTAAAAGAAATAGAAACAGCTGCAGTTTCTGTCATAACATTTCATTGCGGACGCTATAATATAAAAGCACGCGGGTTGGAACGTCTTCCTAGTTTATGTAGAAGCTGAATTAAAAGGCACGAAAAATGTGTAACATATGGAGTAACACTGAGTGCTTCAATTGACTGGACCACACAGCAAACACATCCTGATATTTGTATGGTAGATTCTAAATCCTGTGTCAGTCCCATTATGCTACATTAAAGAGAGGCATGTTATGGTAAGCTATTGCTATCCATAGCTTGGTAGTTGTCCAAACCTGGGGGGGCAATATGATTATAAATATTCACCTCACAGAGCAGCAACAATTTACAGCAACCCCATAGCATATATTTTAACGTGAATCGAAAAAGAAAAAATGTGTCGGGCCTTAAAGGGACACCGTAGGCACTGTATCTGCTTCATCTCATTAAACTGGTTATAGTGTATGGAGTCCCCTGGTGCCATCATTTCTTTCAGCATTAAACAGTTTTTAATGTAATGTTTTAATGTTAAACAAGAGACTACAGCAGTCCATCCCCTCTGTGCTGCTTTGGCTAATAAGGAAGTATTACCCTGAGAGGCAATGGGCAGCTGTGATTGGCTGAGATTGTCAGCTGACTGCTTTTAACCTGTCAGAGCTCCAGTGACTGTATGAATGGGTATGACAACAAGGAAGTGTGTAATCTCTGCCTTAGCTACACATACAGAAGGGGCCGGGCTGTGGGTGTCCAGGGACTCTTATTTTGTGGCATACTACACAAACATGGTGCAACACTGAATGGAGGGACAGTGCCAGGGCACTCCAGGCACTATAACCAATTCAAAGAGATGAAATGCTTATAGTGACTACAGTGTCCCTTTAAGGTGAAAAAGCCTAGAATGCAAAAAAAATGGGGGATAACCCCTAAACAGTGAATTACAATTGGCAAGAAAAGAGCAAAAAACAAAAAGGATGCATTTCTACCTACATGGTGTATAATGTCTAGAATGTAAAATGTAACTTTTATCGTGTTATTTAAACTATAATGGGTGACTAGAAAAATAAGAAAAAATAAAAGCAATATAGGAGATAGGTCTTTGCTACTTTCACAGTAGTGGCTTGTTTTAAGAGACTATATCAGTCAAGAGCCATGGTTCATGTGCTCTGTGGATAAGTACAGAGAAACATGTAGCACTTAATGAAATGTGCCATAAGATATGGCTACTTAATATCGCTGTATGGTTTGCTGGCCATAGGTAATGTTGGTTGACGTTATCTGTGGATTAATAGAGAGGGGCGGACAGCAGGTGAGTGAAAGAAGAAGAGAGTGTGGAGCTGTGTATTGCTGTATTTGTCTAATCGGGAATACGGAGACAACTGTACAGGGTACATGCAAGGAGACGGCAATAGCCGTACAGGATTAATGCAAATAAGTACTAAGTGTTTGTGCAGTAAGTTACTGCTACTTTGTAAAAAAAAAAAAAATTGTATCTAATCGCAAGTTCCACTAGGTAATACACAATAGATCCAAAAAGGAAAAATGCAAATAATTAAACAATACTGCACAGCAAAAGATGATTAGTGGATAAATCACTAGTGCCTTCAAGGGCACCCCTTAGCAAAAAACCCTGATTTGAAGATGCACCCCCCTACCTTTTACATTCTAGACATTATACACCATGTAGGTAGAAATGCATCCTTTTTGTTTTTTGCTTTTTTCTTGCCAATTATATTTTAACGTGGTTTAAAAAAAAAAAAGTGATCTTTTATTTCCCCAGGATTAAAGTATGGTTTTTGAGATTTATTGTAGGAGAACAGCTGAAGTTGTTTTAAACGTTTATCATTTAAAAAATATATATATTGTTCTGTGCTGCTGTTGTTGTTGTTGTTGTCATAAGAGCTGGTGCATGATAGGAAGAAGTAGGAAAAGGAAAAAATATTTAAGTGTAAAATAAATACACATCATATAGACGTAATAGAATATATTATACATACCATGAGGTATTTAAACCTATTCACTAATTCCTTTACTTCCTCTCTGTGGGGCGCTCTCGCTGCAGGACTTTCCCTGGATTCTGGCTGATGAGCAGGATGTGCACATGCAGGAACCTCGTCTGATTCCTCTCAAGACTATGACCTCTGACATATTAAAGGTGAGAAGCCCTGCATATCATTTTTCCCCATTATCAGAATTCATTTTGTAGGCCGATGACCTCACTGTGATATTCACAATATAACCTATTGACAATCAGAAGTAGCTGGATGGAAGATGTCCTTAAGGACGTGCTTCTTCTAACTCGACATTTTCCTGAGGAAATCCCAACAGTACGAGTGAGAAGAAGCACATCTATCAGGACACCTTCCATCCAGCTACTTTATCTGCATTCCTACATCGGGTATAGCGGCCTCCAGTAGTCGCGACCGGATGGGCTTCCACCATAAGTTGGAGTGATTTTATTTTTGTAGTCAGTATTGGATTTTGTTCCTTGTGGGAGATTGTTTTATATGCATAAGTATTTTTATGTGATTATCCACTTTTTAATTGAGCTATTGTAAACTTAATTTTAGTTTTGCTGTTCCTTATGGATCCTGAGTTTTTATAACAAGCTACGAGATTGGCAACTATTTTATGGTATCTAGCACCCTCTGGTGGAATTGTAGGATCTGTTTTCCCTATATTCACACTTTATTACAGTTTATATGTTGTTAGTTAACTGCGTTCACACCTTGTGTTTTTACAGTCTGCAATATCTTGTTACTTTAGATGCAACTTTATGTAGAAGAGCGAGCGCAGAAAAGCACTTGATCTCAGCTGGGAACCTGAATTGTGGAGATGCCTCACTTGAGAAGTCTCTGAAACATGTCTGCTTTCATGGTGCTAAGGAGAATGAGCCAGCTTCCAATGTAAATAACAGATTGCCACGTACAAATGGAGCAGCCAAAACTATATCTCTAACAAGACTGGATGGCAGTCTCACTGCAGAGCTCTACTTGTCTTTATCTTAAATACTAATCTATGGCTCGAGCTATAACAGGAACTGCAGTATGTACTTACTACACAGACAGAACAAGGAACGGTATCACAATGCAAAGAAGAGACTATTTTAAGGCACATCAATCAATTAAAATAGCTGAAGGCTGAATGAGTGCACTAAGTTATATTTTAACATATAAATCCTTGCCACGCGATGGGATTTACAGAGCTTTGTGGAGAAGGCTGCCGGCAAGGAGAACATTTTTACAGTAACCTTGATTTAATATACATATCTTTATGCAGTAATTCATTTTACATTAGACCACATGAGCATTTGTTTTTAAAGAGAACATTAAATGCAAGCTGGTATGGTACGGTTACTGTATGCACAACACTACCTTAAAGGGACAATAAGTCTTATAACTGGACCTTTAATCACATTGATACCACATTAAAGGCAATGTTAACACCAAGAAGTGTATTATTTCTCCCCTTTGAAAAGTAACCCTGTATAGCTGGGATCCAGCTCAGCCTCTCTGATCCTGGCAGTTTAGGATGGAGGTTAGTGCTTTACTGACTCTGGGATACATACCTGATCTGCCAAGTAACACATGGGAAAACTCAATCTTTATGCAGGAGGTTTAAAAAAAAAAAAAAAGGTACAAATTAACCAGATAATTTAAACATTTATGTCAAACTAGCAGGAGAATTTCTCCTATTCACTTGGCATAGAATGTGAAAACCAGAGGTCAGATAGTTGGGGATGTCACTGAAGGCACAGACATTTTTTAGTCTTCCAACCTTGAGTCATGCAGGGGCAGCCTTTAGTTTCTTCCAGAGTGAAATGACACCGTATACCTAATTGAATAAGGACATTTCAAGATAACTGCATAATATCTATATTTAATGAGTAATTTAAAGGGACAAGCACCATAAAAACTTAATCTTACTGAAGTGGTTATAGTGCAAATAAGTTTCAAACGCTTCCCCCCCACCTCGTATGTGAATATAACCCCAATCAGCCTTGCCCCTCCCATCCCAAATTGTTCCACTGGTGTTTCTCATACATATAGTTTGCTGTGATTTTTCACCCAGTAGCTGGTTGACCCTGATAAGAATTTTACTCCACATTAGCAATTTTCTTTTTTTTTTTTTTTTACATAGCAAGTCACCATAACAGACACATAAAATTATGTAAAACTAAAGTATGATTTTTTTTTTTTTCCTTTTCTATAGAAACATTAAATCTCAAAATTATCCATCTCTATAAAAATATATCTAAATATTAACCTACTACTGACTCACAGAGCTTGCTCACTGGAGTTTGCTTGAAAGTAGGCTATTTCAAGTAGTCTCTTAAGTAGCAGTTGAAACAGGAGTTTAAACTATAAGCGAGTTTAAACCAAAAGGGTAAATATTGTTTTGCTCATTTGTGTTTTTGGTAACTGGGGATGAGTGCTAGCAAGATTGCGAGTTTAACCCAGTGCACATCCTGCTGCATGTATGCATGCCTGGATGAATCTATCCAGGGTCCATATCTCTGTGGTAGGTGTGAGTGAGTGGCTTTTCTGGAAACTCTGGAAACAACATTGAGGGAAATTGACAATCTTGAGAGGAGTCTGCTGCTCACTGAGCAGAGTTTAGTGGGTGCAGGTAGTGGAGTGGGAGGAGATGAGACGGTTGGTGAACAGGCACGTAGCTGGGTGAAAGTGAGGCAAGGAAGCGGGGGAGGGAGGGAAGAGGAAAGGTTTAGCTAGTCCTGATCTTGTGCAGCCTAACAGATTTGAGTGAAGATGTTGGGAGCATCAGCTCAGGAGTAGCTGTATTGTAGGAAGCTGTTACTAACAGCAGAGGGAATCGTCTCTCTAGTACGGGTGGGGATGAAAATGTAAGGAAGGCTAGACAGGTTGTGGTGGTAGGGGACTATCATTAGGAAAGTAGATAGGGTAATCTGCCACTCTGATCGACTCACCCGGACAGTTTGCTGTCTCCCGGGTGCTCGGGTCCGGCATGTTGCCGACAGAATGGAGGGATTATTGGGAGGGGGTGGGGATGACCCAGTTGTCATGATCCATATTGGTACCAATGACTAAGTCAGAGGAAAATGGAAGGTCCTAAAGAATGAGTTCAGGGAACCAGGAAGTAAGCTAAAGAAAAGGACCTCCAAGGTAATATTTTCAGAAATATTACCTGTGCCACGCGCTACAGCAGAAAGGCAGCGGGAGATTAGAGAGGTCAATGCATGGCTGAAGTCTTGGTGCAGGAAAGAGGGTTTTGGGTTTTTAGAGCACTGGGCCGATTTTGCGCTTGCGTACAACCTGTATAGCAGTGATGGATTGCACCTAAACGGAAGAGGGTCTGCTGTGCTGGGGATAGGATGGCTATTAGATTGGAGGAGATTTTAAACTAGTAGTAGGGGGGAGGGTCAAAGCAATCTAGAAAATGGAGATAGGATAGAAGGGAGATGGGCTTTAGCTCAGTATAAGGGGGTGGAGATGGGGGGAGGGGAAAGCTCAGAACAGAGGAGGTATGTAATATTGATTCACAAAAAGTACAAATGACTCATGGTAATAAACATATGCTTAATAATGCAAGGAGCCTATATAACAAAATAGGGGAACTAGAGGCAATAGCATACACTTAACAATATGATATAATAGGCATAACAGAAATCTGGTGGGATGAGACACATGACTAGGAAGGTAACTTAAATGGGTACACGTTATTTAGGAAGGATGGCAAAAACAAGAAGGGTGGTGGGGTATGTTTGTATGCCAACCATGAGTTAAAGTAAAAAATCTTAGGCACGTAGAGTGTGACGAGGAAAATGTGGAAGCTTTATGGGTAGATATCTGCTTGGGGCAAACAAAGGAAAATCGGTTATTGGTTGGGATATGTTATAAACGGCAGAAATTTTAAATAACAATTTTTCTTCAGTATATATTAAAGAGGATCCTATGGCAAGAGATATGCAAATGATTGCAGCAAAAAACTAATAAATAACTTGTGATTGGATGACTCGAGACAAGGTGCTACAGCAGTTAAAGAAAATTAAGGTAACTAAAGCTCCAGGGCCTGACGGTATTCACCCACGAGTAGTTAAGGAACTAAGTGGGGAAATAAGTGACATCTGTATTTAATCTTTCAAGATTCCTTTGTTTCAGGTATTGTACCGGAGGATTGGAGAAACGCAGATATTGTTCCTATATTTAAAAAGGGTTCAAAATCCTTGCCAAGAATTTATAGACCTGGGAGCTTAACTTATGTGACTGGAAAAATATATGAAGGGCTATTAAGGGATAATATTTAGGAATTCACTGGGAAGAACTTTGTAATTAGCAATAATCAGCATGGTTTTATGAAACACAGGTCATGTCAAACTAACCTAACTGCATTCTACGAAGAAGTAAGTAGAAGTATAGATCAGGGTGTTGCAGTGGATGTGATCTACTTGGATTTTACCAAGGCATTTGATACGGTTCCTCACAATAGGTTAGTCTTCAAACTAAAAGAAATTTGTCTAGATGAATATTCTTGTTCTTGGGTAGAACATTGGCTTAAGGATAGAGTACAATGAGTTGTCATTAATGGTAAATTTTCAAGCTTGACAAAAGTGGTAAGTGGTGTCCCTCGGGGTTCTGTTTTGGGACCGCTTCTCTTTAACATATTTATAAATGATCTTGAAATAGGCATTGAAAGCGATGTTGTAGTGTTTGCAGGTGACACAAAACTTTGTAAAGTAATAAAATGTGAGCAGGATTATGGCTTTGCTGCAGAGGGATTTAGATAGATTGGGGAACTGGGCACTAAAATGGCAGATCAAATTTAATGTAGAGAAATGCAAAGTTATGCTCTTCGGGGTCAAGAATGCACAAGCAACTTACACCCTAAATGGTAGTGAATTAGCAATAACACAGGATAAGTATTTGGGAATTGTTATAGACAACAAATTAGGCAGCAATATGCAACGTGAATCTGCAGTTGCTAAAGCCAGTAAGGTTTTGTCATGTATAAATATGGGCATACATTCTCTGGATGAAAATATAATCTTGCCTCTTTATTAATCGCTGGTAAGACCACACTTTGAATATGCTGTGCATTTTTGGGCACCTGTTCTAAAGAAGGCTATCATGGCACTAGAAAAAGTGCAGAGACGAGCTACAAAATTGATAAAAGGAATTGAGCATTTTAGGTTAAACATTTAAATCTCTTTAGTTTGGAAAAACGGCACCTCAGAGGGGATATATTAACATTATAAATTATTCTGGGCCAGTACAAACCATTACCTGGAAATCTATTCATAAACAGGGCTATACATCGGACACGAGGTCACACATTTAGACTGGAAGAAAGGAGATTTAATCTCAGGCAAAGAAAAGTTTGTTTGTTTTTACAGTAAGAACTATAAGGATATGGAATTCTCTGTCTGAAGAGGTGGTTTTATCAGAGTCCATACAGATGTTTAAACTGAAATTGGATAAGTACTTGCAAAAACATAACATACAGGGATATATGTAATATGTATAATTAGTGGGGTAAAAGCTGCTTGATCCAAGGAGATATCTGACTGCCATTCTGGGGGTCCCAAAAGGAATTGTGGCAAAATTGGAAGTGCTTCAAACTGGGTTTTTTGCCTTCTTTTGGATCAACAGCAAAAACATTTGTGAGGAAGGCTGAACTTGATGGACGCAAGTCTCTTTTCAGGTATGTAACTATGTAATTTGGATGTGAGATTTGTCCTCTTTGCATCTCTGTGAGGAACATTTGATTTGGAAAAAGAGGGGTGAATCTTCATTAATTGCAGAAATTAGTTCTGTAGCTAATATGGGAAATTTAGGAACCAGGATTTCGCTAGCTGAATCCTGGGTCAGTCTGACCATTTCGACAGTGGGTATACACAAAAACAAAACAGGTCATAATCCTAATTCATTACATTTTCACTTGAAAGGGGATTAATGAACAGATATACATATTTAGTGTTTTGTTTTATGTACACTTCCAAAAATGTTAAAAGCAGACTTACTTTATTTTCTACAGCCTTTTTTTTTTGCCATTTTCCATCAGTCATCACTCACCCCGGCTAATAGGAAAAGGCATCTTTTTGCACGATGAACAGTAGATGCATGAGGCATCTTCATACACTGTGGATTTGCCTGTCTTGCACTCTGCAGCTCCCGACAGCTTCATCTGCAAGAAGTTGAAAAAGGAAGATGGTGGTGCCACCTCGCAAGGGACACATAACTAGGTATGGTCTTGGCAAAAAATGCAGAGACCCCAACTAGGAACAGGTCTACTTGAAGAAAATCTGGCTCCCCTTGAACTCCCGTCCTCTCCCTGCTGCCGCAGACATAAAAAAAACAACAACTCTCCTTTAGATTCCCCAAGTACTGAGCCATCTCTCACCTGCTACCCAAAGCCCTCAAACCCTCTCCTCCATATCCTCACAAACACTAAGCCAACTCCCCTGCCTCCCTTTGACTGGCTCACCATGACTAGAGCCCACTCCCCCGACTCCCTCTGACCTCAAGTCCTCTGCTCTAGATTCCCAGACACTGAGCCTTTCCCCCTGGCTCACCCAGACCAGAGCCCACTCCCTGGACTTCCTCTGACCTCAAGTCCTCTCCTCTAGATTGCCAGACACTGAGCCTTCTCCCCTGGCTCACCCAGACCAGAGCCCACTCCCTGGACTTCCTCTGACCTCAAGTCCTCTCCTCTGGATTTCCAGACACTGAGCCTACTCACCTGGCTCACCCAGACCACAACCCACTCGTCGGACTCCCTCTGACCTCAAGTCCTCTCCTCTGGTCTTCCATTCTATAATATTAAATACCTGAATCTCAATTTCCTAATTCCCCTTCTCTCACCTTTATCCATGCCTTCTATGGTAACATGATCTTTACCTGTTAAAGGAATGATACCATTTTCTTTATCCAAAAAAATACAATCAAATAAAATAAATAAATCATCAATATTCATGCTAGATTTTATATCCTATTTTCAACTCTTTACAAGTTGTATATTTATATATGTAAGGCAAAAAAAAAGACAAATTCTAAATATAATTTTCATTGCATAGATGAAGACATTTAATATTTTTTAAACAAGAAAATCTATTAAGGGACACACTATCAACATAACCAGTGGAGATCAGTGCAATATTACAGCTCAACGCAGTGGTTATGTTGCTTAGAGAGTGTCCCTTTAGCAGAATCAGAACATTTTAAAGCATTCTTATGTCATAGTCAGTTTAGACAAATTACTAATAAGGCTTTAAATAAGTTTCAGATAAAATAGGTAAATTAATTTGCTGAAAAATATTCAGTGTCCTAGTGTGGCAGCAGAATAAGGGGCATACGTTCGCCATTCCACGATCACGCAAGGAGATTTTCTGGTTCAATAGTGACACTGCTGTTAGTCACTCGGACGCCATACCATCCAGCCCAAAACTGCGTGTCCTTTCCACCATGTTGAAAATATATATAACGGACTCCCTCTCCGTAATCGCGGAATGTGTGAGTCATCTGTGAAAGAAGTTTGGAATTACTAGATTTTAATACTTAGAAATGTCCATGAAAATTAAAGTTTTTTGTAAACTCCAAAAATGACACATAGTAAATTAGGTTCCAAATAAATGTCCAATTCAACTTCCATAGCTATAAATTGAGCATCCACAGCTTGCCCTCGGATCACACTATTTATGCAATAAGAAATTCTACACTCTGAGTAGATCTAACCTTCGCCAATCACAAAGAATGGAGAGGTGGAACGGACTATGCAGCTGATGATGTGAATATTGGCTGGGAATAATGTGATTGGTGCTGGAGGATGATGTGATTATTAGCTGGGAGTAATGTGATTGGTGCTCGAGGATGATGTGATTATTAGCTGGGAGTAATGTGATTGGTGCTGGAGGATGATGTGATTATTAGCTGGGAGTAATGTGATTGGTGCTGGAGGATGATGTGATTATGTGATGGGAGTAATGTGATTAGTGCTGGAGCAGTATGTAATTATTGGCTGGGAGTAATGTGATTGGTGCTGGAAGATGATGTGACTATTGGCTGGGAGTAATGTGATTTGTGCGGAAGATTATGTAATTATGGGATGGGAGTAATGTGATTGGTGCTGGAGCATTATGAAATCATGGTGGTAATGAGACTGGGCAGCTTTTTTAAATACCTCTCCTTTTTATAAGTAAACTTGTTAACCCCATAAGCTTGTCCTCTTTGTCTCTATATATTGTTCAATATTAAGAATATAGAGCAGAATCTGAAACCTGATGTTATTCACAATTCAAGGGAAATGTAGAGTAGTTCAATTAAGTATCTTTTAAAATCAACAACAAAAAACAAATGTGAGGAAGGCTGAACTTGATGGACACCTGTCTCCGTTCAGCATATGTAACTATGTAACTATGCAAGTAGGAGTCACCTACAGATTGCCACCATGTTTAGTTGGTATATACCACACAAGTCATAGCTGATTCCAAGAATATTTTACATCTTTGATATAAATATTATGAAAACACAAATGTAACATGTTTATCCCACCTGTCTTAGTATCTCACTACTCTGTTATGCATGGCAATCAGAAAAAGCTGTATGAGAGAAGCGACATTGAAGAAACGACGTAAGTCTCAACTGTTATCATCATTATTAGAAGCTTTAAGAAAGGCGGAACAACGGCATAAGTCGGACCCTACACCTACTAATTTAACGACGGTGCAGAACGTAAGGAACTCTATTCGGGAAACGCTCCTAGATAACACCACGAGAGCTATAGTGTGGTCAAAACGAACCTTTTATGAAAAAGCTAACAAGATGGATACCTTATTGGCAAGATCCCTTAGACCAGGGGTTCTCAACCCAGTCCTCAGGACCCCCTACCAGTCTAGGATTTGGGGATTACCTGGGTGTGTCTCAGGTGTTTAGAAAAAGGGAAAAAAACACCTTCGACTCTAAGGTGTTTTTTTTTCTTTTTCTTAACACCTTAGACACACCCAGGTAATCCCTAAACCCTGGACTGGTAGGGGGTCCTGAGGACTAACGTTGAGAACCCCTGCCTTAGACCGAGGCAACGGGGCACACATATTACGAGGATTAAGAATGCAGTAGGAGAATATCAGACGAACCCCACGGAGATTGCCAAGGTGTTCACGGACTATTATACCAAACTCTATAACCACTCGACAGGCGGAGTCATGGACCCAAGTCAGGAATTTGATGGGATACGAGCGTTCCTCTCTCGGTTACACCTCCCCAAGTTAGACGAGGCAGCCTCGGCTGCCTTGGGCAATCTTATCTCGGCTGAAGAAATAGATGCGGCAATTTCCGCCTTAAAAAAAAGCAATAAAGCACCTGGACCAGATGGCTTCGATGGAAGCTACTATAAAACCTTCCGAGAGGAGCTTATGCCTCACTTAGAATCCTGGTTCAACGACCTTATGGATGGGGGGTGCCAGATAAAGATATGTCCTTGGCAAATATAGCTTTACTACCTAAGCCGGGCAAAGACGACTCAATCCCGGAGAATTTTCGCCCAATTTCTTAATCACGATTCCCAAATTTTAGCAAAAGTGTTAGCAGGCAGATTGAATCCGATCCTTACAGGTCTGATTCACCCAGATCAGGTGGGCTTTATACCGGGCAGACAACTGTTGGAAAATACAAGACGCAATATAACCCTTATAGGGAGACCGGCTACGAAGGGCACTCCGACACTGATGCTATCACTGGATGCCGAAAAGGCATTTGACAGAGTCAAATGGCCCTATCTGAGGTATTAAATCACTTTGGCATGCCGGCCCAGTTCGTAACAGCTGTTCAGGCCTTGTACTCAAACGTCAGGGTGCAGATCCAGATTTCGGGAGCACGAACCATCCCATCTGAGTAATGGCACGAGACAAGGATGCCCGCTTTCACCTCTACTGTTCGTCCTTTCACTGGAACCCCTCATGCAAACAATACGCAATGCCCCAGATGTCAGGGGTGTCACCGTGGGGGGTAAGCAATATGTTATATCGGGTTTCGCAGATGACGTATTGTTAACATTAACGAATCCGAGGGTTTCTATGGCGGCTCTGACTGGGATTCTGGCGGAATACGGCGAGGTGGCTGGCTATAAAGTCAACTTACACAAATCAAGCGCACTCCCCATAGGTATGAGGGAAGATGACGCGGCGTATATAGGGAGGACTTATCACATACGTATAGCGAAGGACCATATCAAATACTTAGGCATATGGTTGACGGCGGATCCCTCCCAACTATACCAGCAAAATTATGCCCCACTAATTCGACATCTAATAAACGACATGGAGAAGTGGGTAAATAAACCGATCTCGTGGATCGGAAGAATACATTCAGTGAAAATGAATGTGCTACCCAGGATACTATTTCTATTCCAAGCTCTTCTGGTACAGTTGACTAAATCTAATTTGGGACCGCTTCAACAGGCTATTGGCAAGTTTATCTGGCAGAATAAGAAACACAAGATCTCCCGTAATGTACTTTATAAGGCTTATTACGTGGCAGCTCAATTGGCCCAAATTGCACTATGGCACTCTCCCCCAGAAGATGAGTGGATCTGGAATCCGCCCTGATGGGCCCAGACATGCCCCAGTTCCTCATGTGGACCCCTAAAGAAGATAGACCAATAGATCAAGTGATATGCCGAGCGATACGCAACTCCCTTAAAATTTGGGATGCCACCACCCTTAAATATGGCCTGACCTCCGACCCGTCGCCCATGACCCCATTCTTAAGAAACAAATCATTTCTTCCGGGCATGAGTCCCTGGGATTTCAAGGGTATTGAGAACACGGGACTGCAGAGACTGTGCGAACTGTTTGAAAACGGCTCATTTATAACATTTGAAGAATTGACAAGCAGGGCCCCATTACGACCCTTCGACTACTTCCGGTATCTACAGCTTAGGGATTATGCCAGAGACTCCTGGATCAAAATGGCTGCGTTGACACAGTTAACGATTTCCAAAGGATGTGCAAGAGGGAACAATTCCCAAGCGGCTTAATTTCATGTTTATATTCTCATCTGAGCACTCACACGCTAGAATGGGGAGATATCACATATATAGATCAGTGGGAAACAGATCTCATTGAGGTTCTGGAGGGCATAAAATGGCAGGAAATATGGGAGGCTGCTGCATCATCTTCAGTGTGCGTCTCCTTGCAGGAACAATCCTATAAGACCTTATTTCGGTGGTACACCACTCCAGTGACGCGGTTACAAATGCGTAAAAACCCGACGGACCTGTGTTGGAGAGGCTGCGGATGCAAGAGCCCTAGCACAGGTGTGGCTACAGAGGGAGACCCCAACAATGATGATGGTAAAACAAAAAATAAAAGATACTTTCCTAATGGACAAGCTGACAGCACAGGTCAGGGGACAATGAAGAAATTTGATAAGATCTGGAGCCCCTGGACAAATAGCACTGTAAGCGATTAGAGAAAGGCAGACTGAATTAGAACATCCAAACATACCTCTCGGGACATCTGAGAAAGGAAGTAAACCATATTACTTGGACCCGGCAAGCAGGGAGGGATTTTTGCGGACCCCCATTGGGGACAGGGTTGGAAGGGAAGCACATTCCCTATGACGCCTTTTTATCGGGCGGCTATCCTCGGACTCCCACCACCCCTCCACCTCCCTCCTCCCTCTACCTCCTCCTCTGTGACCTCGGATTTTCAAGGCACTTCCTCTATTTTTTCCTTTTCTTTCATCTCTTAATCTTACCATCCGACCGTACGAGACAATAGCGACATGGGAGCAAACGTACACTTGTATACTATTCCTAGTCGTTTTTTTGTATGTTTGTTTTTGCAAACACGTGTGCGGTCGTCATATATCATATGTTATCTGTTACATGTTTATCTACTATTTAAAACCAGACGGGATATCTAACCATACATAGAGATGAGAACTACCTTGAAAATTAGAGACGTAAATACAATTAGTGGTCTCTAGTTATGGGATCTATGCGACCTTGACGGTTCACCCATCTTGCTAATGTAAAAATGCCATGATCACAGTGTACATGCTTGTTTATGCATAATCTTATGTTGCTGTATATGTACTGCTTGTGATGTCTCGTCTTGGAATAAATAAAGAATTAAAAAAAGAAAAAGCTGTATGGTGAGAATAAATTTAATGGAATATTCCAAGTACCATAACCACTACAGCTTGCCCTCGTGGTTGTGGTGTAAGATGCAAGGAGCATAGTGAGTGCGTGTTGACACGAGCAGACTATACCTTGCTGGTACGTCAAAGATTGCTTTATTTCTGGCTCACATGCTATTCTATATACAATTTACTCTATAAATCCAGTGCTGTGGAATATAGGAGTAATAAGCACTACGGAATTTCCTGGCGCTATATAAATAATAAAATAATAATAAATAAGAGAAACAACAATAATAAATATTAAATATTTAACTGCTATTAAAAAGCAAAATCTAGCTCTACTGATTTAGGACAAGTGAAATGTTGCAAATGAAGTTCTCCGCACCTCTTTCCACTCGGCATCACTCCACTGCTCCATATAGACAGGTCCAGGACAGAATTCCTGTATGGTTTCTCTTTTTTTGGAAAGTAGCCGAACCAGCACTATATACATAGAGCCACAGTCATGTCTGGGAGCAAACCTACAGCAGGTAAAAAGAGTGAACTATTAAGCAGACCGTGTGAGAAACGCAACATTTCCCACCACTGTTTACATTAACTCACCAGTCTTTAATCACAATATCTGGCTGCACAATATCCATTAATTTATCCTGGTATCCACTTTTCTTGAGATCAATAATTTGGGATTTCATGCAAGAACTATAATAAAATAAATTAAAAAAGCACATCACAACTGAAGCTTTGTTATCTCCTGAGAAGTCACAATGCATTAAACAGTAAATACAATTTTCTTAAAGAGTTACTCCAATCATAACGACTAAAGCCGCTGTAGTGGTTATGGTGCCAGGAGTACCTAGGTCTTGTACAAATATTAATTGTTATGGCACACAGCCAGGCGCTATGAGAAGCATCGGACTGGACAAAAGTCATAACTGGTGACTGCATTGATAGATGATTGGGTTTAGAAGAAGGGTCTGTCTCGATACTTTACAGACAAGTTTTATGGTGATTTTTTTTTAAATCAAATTGAAGAAAAAAAATAAGAAACAAATCCAATTTTTTAAAATGTAGTTTTTTGTAAGATTGTTCCATTAAACCACTTCTTTCCTTCTATGAGAGACTGTATTGGAGCTGAATCAAAGTTATCCTTCAAGTTGCATGACAAACTACTAGAAAAAAAAGGGATACAATCAGACCCCAAAAATCGGCATATGAGGCTTCTGATTGGTGGATCCTCTGGTCTGCGTGCTTCTGGCACTTGCAGTGTAGTGTAGTCTCTTTATATATTAATTTGCATAATGTAAATGCATTATCTATTTAATGCCTTAAAATGGGGGCGTCAGTTTCTTGTCAATTGTTTTTCTTTAGGTTAGATCTTCGTAACCTTTATAATAGTATGTTTCTATTAGTTACTGTAATTACGATAGCAATAAAAGTCTAATTCTTGCACAGCTCGTGTCTTTTATTTCCATCAGTCTTTAAAGGAACAAATATGTATTCCTAACGCTATAGAGCCCTAGTCACCGTGTAGGTGAGTAGGGCCCCCTTCTGCGGCAAATAAATGATTAACCATTTATTTGCTTACCTTAATCCAGCGCCGGGCTCCCTCGGCACTGGTGACCTCTCCTCCTCCATCAACATCAGCTCCCGAGTGGAGCTGAATGCTCATGCACGGCCAGAGGCGCACGCGCATTCAAACCCGCCCATAGGAAAGCATTACTTAATGTCTTCCTATGGTATTTTTGCGTCAATTAAGTGCGATTTACTTTGTGTAAATCACGGAAGTGGCCTGTAGTGGCTGTCAGGGATTAACCCTGCAGTGTAAACATAGTTTCTCTGAAAATGCTATGTTTTCAACTGCAGTGTTCAAACTAGGAGCACCTGGCACCCAGACCACTTCATTGAGCTGAAATGATCTGGGTGCCTATAGTGGTCCTTTAAAAGTTGTAAGGAGGAGAGGGGGAGAACTCCTGTCTATACTGTCCCTTTAAGAATTCTGCAACCAAAAATGAAAGCAGTAGCTGGAGATAATTTATCATCTGAGAATTCTCGCTTCATACATAACACATACATAGTGTCAAAACCACATTTCTGTCATTTCTGGTAAAAAGTTCTAGCAAACAATACTGACCAATCCCTACATGAATATTACAGACACCGACTAGCACATGGTTGGGCAATGAAGGGAAAACTGCCCCAAGCCTTAAATGATAATAAAAGATCACTTTACTACAGCTTGTTTGATGAATATGGATCTACTAAAATCTTTAAACTGATATAATGAGGCACAGAAGCAGGCTTAACCCCATCACTGTGACATTATAATGTAGTGGGCATTGTGTCCTCTGGCTTGGTTCACAATACGTGTGCCAGGACAGTCCGGAACACAATATAAAAATAAAACAAACCCAACAAATCTACATAAAAAAGCCCAGCCCACTGCAATCTTTCAGCTAACAGTGTGTTGTGCCAAAATAAGGGTAGCGACAGTGCCACTTTAAATGAAGCATAACCACTACAGTATGCTTTGTCAAGAGATTGCATCGTTCCCTCTCTATTGCAAAGTGAGAATTCCGGCTGCAGAAAGGCAGGGACTGATTCATGGCAGACTGGTAAAAAGTCAAACTGTTACCAAATATTCTGACTACTTAAAGGGAATCTATAGCGTTAGGAATACAATGTTGGCTCAATTTATAATGTTTGGTTTACACTGATGCTGGATGTCCTAAGCTCTCGGAAGAGTTTCTAGTGGCAGTTTGGTAGACAGCCCCCAGCAGTAGTGCATTTTGGATCTGTGCTGCCCTAGGCATGATGGAACTCTGGCACCCCCAAATTTAAATTTGCCCGACCCATTCCTGTCAAGGCCACACCTCTTCCTGTTAAAGACTAACACACACATTGACTGACAGACACACACACACACACAGAGGCATACACAATCACTCAGATACACACACATACACACAATCACTCAGATACACTGGCTCCCTCACAGACACACACTGACAGACATACAGTCCTGCAATGTAAAACACTGCACTATTTGAGAAAATGCAATGTTAACATTGCAGTGCTAAGACACTGTGTGTCTGAGTGACTGTGTGTGTCTGTCAGTGTGTGTCTGAGTGAGTATTGACAGACACACACACACAGATAGATACACACTCATACTCACTGAGACAGCCAGCCAGACAGACATTTCCCCCATACACTCACAGATAATTTTCTCATTTTAATTTAAATCCGCCCAGCCTCCCTACCTTTGGATTTTTTACCTGGGGTCCAGTGGGGCTACTGACCAGGCTTTTTGGGCAGGAAGGCAGGCAGGCGGGCGGCCAGTTCAGGTCCAGGCGGGCGGACGTCATATTCCGGCTCCCGGAATCACTCTGCGGCACACAAGGGAGAGCTCACAAATCAGCACTCCCTTGCCGCCCGCAGCTCAGCCAGCTGCCTGCCCTGAGGCTAACAAGGCATTTGCCTGGGCATTTGGGGCAGCATATTTTGCCGCCTGTGGAAAGTGCCTACCAAGGCAAATGCATTGTTTGCCTCGCGGCAAAAACAGTGCTTGCCACCAGAGAGTGTCTTGGCACTGCAATGTAAACAGGACTAAGTGGAACAGGGAGACTGCTCCCAGACCCCTTCAATGAGATGTAGCGGGCTGGGTGCCTATAGTGTCCTTTTAAGTTGGGGGGAGGAGGAGGCGACACGACAGGGCAACATTACACATTCTCTTGCGGTAGTTATGGTGCATGGACTGTTCATTTAAGGTGGCACTTGACACTTAACTGCACTTTATTGATGGTTCTGTAGGGGAATTTGTAACAGCTGAACATTTGGACACACAATAAACAATAATATTAAAACGAATTGCAGCATACAGAAGTGGCAGGAGATTTATACAATTATGAATGCAACAGTGGAGGTCTTACCCATATGAGGTTACAAAATACTTTTTTACTTTTTCGTCATGGATATTCTGACCATGTTCTCCAGGCAAATCTTCTATCTTCCACCTATCTCCACCATTTTCTTCAATTTTCCAGTGTTTAAATTTTTCTGGAAAAGCAAAACAAAACTAGAGGATGAAAATAAATTAATTGAAATGGAAGGCCCTTACGGAGTATCGCCAAACTTTGGGGGTTATTGAACACCATGACAAGCAATGGAATGTTAAAGGGTTGCTCCATTTTTAGACCTTTGCCCGAGAATTGCTCTTTATAAATATTTATAGCCACAAAATGAAACTTTTCATTATTATAAATAGGACTGTTATTCATGGTTTATTCTCTGAACTAATTTGGTAAATACTGGGAATTATTGTCTAAAGCAAGAATTGTGAAACAGGGCTAGACGTATTAGCTAGTACAAACGTACATATGATAATAAACCCCAATTATCTTCCCCTATACCAGTCACTGACCTCACTAAAAAATATAAATACTTATTACACATCCAGCACAACTAAAGAAAAATACATCAAAATAGACTCACGTATGAGTCCTGATTGTTAATTCAAATTTCTGGGATCTAAATCCATTTTTGGTAGTTAATGCTAACCCGTTACCAACCCTCCTCCCCCTCACCAAATAGTTCTACCCCTAAGCTTACACTAGCTAACTGTATACCTTAACACTACACTAACCCCAAAAAAGCAGTAATCCTAATCAAGAATTAACATTTACATTACCCTAACAATACCCCTACACATGTTTTTGTAGCATGATAGGGAGATCTCCCTCTCATGCTGCTTCCCAACATGCTATCCCTGAGCAACTTGTCAAGACCAACACCGATCATAATCTGAGGGGGCATGCAGGGAGACAATGTCAGGATCTTTTTAGACCATGGGGGTCTTCCTCGGACACCCTGCAGCCAAGGAATTACATTGACTGAGCGATCAGGGATTTAAATAAATTTAAAAGGTTGCGTAAAACGCTCACAGGCTGTATTAGCACTGCTCATCAATATGACCCCAGCTCCCAGAGAGGAGACTCCGGTATTGATTGATATTTGGGGTCTTCCAGGTTGAGCAAAGATTTAACTCTGCTCACCACAGTTTTTTATCTGGGAGGGATGTACGTGCCCTTTGAAAGGGTTGTATGATCAGTTTGGAGCCACTAAATTTAGCCCTGCTCACAACGGGACATTAGGAAGAACCCCATGTTTAAAGAAGTTCTCCAAACCCCCTTAAGAACTTAAGGAAACACCACATCCCAAATTTAAAAAAATAATATCACAATTTAGTAGATATACCTCCAATGAACACATGTATGTATTAAATTATGCATGTTTTTCATCTACCAGTTTGAAGACACAAAATTTTGCCCTGCTCACAACGGGACATTAGGAAGTGCCAATATGCCCTAAAGACATTATGCCCTGGCTTTCTAGGACATAATGGTACGTCCTAAAGGTTTTGGTGTACAAATCATGCCCCTGCAGTCTAGCTGCTCAATTCTTTGCCATTTAGGAGTTAAATCCCTTTTGTTTCTGTCCATGCAGCTCTTGTCACACCTGCCCTGGCTGTGACTGGCACAGCCTGCATGAAAACAAAATGTTTCATTTTCCATCAGATGTTACAGCAAAGTCTGTTTACTTTAGAAGTTATCATCTTCTCTGTTAGTTGAACTTTAATCACACACAGGAGGCTGCTGCAGGCTGTAACAGCTATTAATAAACAAGAGATAAAAATCTAAATCACAACAAATTGCAATAAGAGAAAACATATTGGAAAACGGGCAGAATACATTCCTCCCTGCAATGTCCATGGTTTTATAGGGCTTATCTTTAGCTTCCATTGGTGGTCCAGTTGGTGGTAACCTTCTCCCACTCACTGTTGTTAGTATATTTTTACAACAGTGGGTTGTTAAAAATGATTATATTTTATTTAGGTTTTATGTTGCTTCACTATTTGGAAGTCCCAATTGGTGATGAAACGCGTAGGACTGCCCACTTATTTATTATTTGTTTTTATTACTTATACTTGTTCATATAATCTTTTTGGAATAAAATTTGGAGTCTGGGTCCTGGGTATGTAGGGACTGCTGCCAAAACTGGAACAGACGTGGACTGGCCCCCCGGGATTCCTAGGGGAGGCACCTTAAGGTGACATTACCATCTACCTTCTTGTGAGTGCATTTCTGGCTGGGCTGTATTAACGTGCTGTACTGTATTAAACTATACTAGTGTTCTTGTTTTGTAGATTTACAGCTGCATCCTCTTTATATTGTATTTTTGGTTGATACTACCTGAGATATCTCCAGAGGAAGCTGTATTGTTAAATTCTAGGACAAGTTTTTTTTTACCACATTGTGCACCTGGTCGGGGCCAGTGCAAGAATTTTTGCCGCCCTAGGCGAAAATATTTTTACCGCCCCATTTGCTCCACCCACTCATGCAGACTTACATAGACTGACCCATACAGACATACACACATACAGACCCCCCTCCACACACACACACAGACCCACACATACATATACATTGACGCATGCACACATCGATACATACACACTGACTCATAAAGACACACACTGACCCATGCAGACACACAGACACAGTCCCATACACACACACAGTCCCATACCTTCACACACACACACAGACACAGTCCCATACCTTCACACACACACACACAGTCCCATACCTTCACACACACACACACAGTCCCATACCTTCAAACAGACACACACAGTCCCATACCTTCACACACACACACAAGCAGACTGACCCAAGCAGACTGACATACACAAACATACTGACATACATTCTATGAAACACACTGTGCATTCTCTCTTACCTTCATTGCACTTTGCTCTTCATTCCTGTCTTCTTTACTGCGCTGGCGGCCAACACTTTTTCCCAAAGCCCCATTTCCTGTTATTCTCCCGCTCCCTTGTTCCCACGTACAGGGCAAGGGGCAGAAGCAAGTGAATGATGTGCCCCTGCGCTGCCGTGTTGCTTGACTGGGAGAGGGGTCCTGACTTAGCAGACTGTGGTGAATGCTGGACTAACGTTGTACCTGGTGCTAGTCTACAAGTAAGAGCTCCCTAGTGCCCGGTAACCCGACCTGCTATATATATATATATATATATATAAAATCAATCCCACTTGATAGGGGGGGCACCAGCAGTGACTTTTATTGCTTGTCTGACCACCCCCCTAAGTAGGCGCCCCAGGCGGCCACCTACTTAGCCTATAGGATGCGCTGGCCCTGCACCTGGTGGTGAGGGTGTGGGATTTGTATTGATGCATTGAAGTGTGGCTATGGCTGCAGAAACAAAGTCATTTAACTCCTAAATGGCAGAGAATTGAGCAGTGAGACTACAGGGGCATGATCTATCAATCTATAGGAAATATATATTTTTTCCAATTAAAGTAAACTAAGAGGTTGATAAAATGCCTTACTTGTTACTCATAGAATGTAGACAGGATTCCTACCTAAAGCACATGGGTTTTTCAGTAAGTTTTTTTTTAAGCTGGAGAGACGATAATAAATCTTCCAGTCACTGGGATATCTTTCGTAGTTTTTAGGGAGGTATCCCATTCGCTGACACTTTGTCTTCCACAGAGTTGGAGAGTCAGTTAGGTCCTTCCACATAGAGCAGACGCGTCGGCAACTACGGGTTAGGTCTGTACTGGGGACCAATGAGAGAATTTCCAGCACGACATCTTCCGGGAGATCATTGAAATTCTGCATCCTGCACAGAATACAAACATTTTGAGCTGCAATAGACATTCACGCACGCATTTATCTTAATCAAACGCACATGGACTGGGAAATGCACACTGACCTGCTTCTTAGCGAGAAAGTAGAGAGGGAAATAATATAGACATAAATAACCCCACAAGCTCTTTTCAATGATTAAAAATGATTATTTGTAATACCTTTAGGTATTTCTCCAACACTTACTGGAATTCAAGAGACATAGTACATAGGCACGCCCAAATTTAGCAATCTGTTGGACAAGGAATGCAGGGGGATGGCGAGCTGGGAATGGTATACATTCAATGAATAAAATGACAAGCAAGCAGCGGAGGGGGTGGATCTCGATCAGTTCATGAACTAGAGACCTGTCACGGTAGTTTACCCCTACACGCAGGATTTAGTTCAACAATCGACAGATAGAGCAGATACGACTTACCGGACCTTAGAATGGCCGGACTCGCCGTATAGCAGAGAATAGACAGAGTCAAGAACAAGCCGAGGTCAAGGGAACAAAGAGACAGCGAGAACAAAAACTAGCCAAGGTCTGGTACACAGCAGTCAGTAAGCCAGCATACAAGACAAAACAGGGATAGAGAGATAAACGGAGTCAGATACAAAGCCAAGGTCAAGTACAAAAATCACAACTGAACACAACAAGCGCTAAAGGGAACTGATGCAGAAACCACGATAGGGCAGGGAGTTAAGGGAGAGGTAAGTATAAATACCCTAAACTTTACTTTGATTGGCCCCTGTCATATCCACGCCCCCAAAATGTGAGTGTCTGGGGAATGTGGGATGACAGGGGCCAATGGGAGCACATTTAATTTTTTGGCTCCCACTGCCCCTTTAAGAGCGTGCCCAAGACGCGCAGCACGCTCTTAAAGCTAGGCGGAACATGTGACCGCATCTCGCGGTCCGTGCCCGCCTTCATTTGGGAGCTGTGCGCGGCGGGAAGTGAGGACCTCGGCTGGCCCCCGGGTAAGGTAAGTACCGCTACAAGACCATGCAGAAAAGAGGGGATTTAGAAGAAAACAGATTGGACAACAAGTAGCAGAAGACATGAATAGTGGGGGGGCGTGGTCTGGATGTCGACCGTGATGGTCGCATAGTCCGTGAGCTCCTGTGTTAAGGCAGACTAACCTTGCCTGGGAACCTTTGTTTATTTCCCCACCCTGTCTTGGGAAGGCACTCTGCAGCATGAAGGCTAGCGGGAAGAAGCAGACCCGCAAGTACTTGGACGGTGGCTCCAATTTTCTCACAGCCAGGCAGGGGCCCTAGGCGGACCCAAGATGGCGCCCAGAGAAGCCCTTGTGCAGACGACCCATTTGAGGAGGCGTCGGATACCTCGCTCCCCTGCTCAGACTATACTACCTGCATTCTGCTCCAGATACGGGCAGACAAGACGTACCTCACAGAGGAGCTCGAGACAGGAGCGCAGGCCATCAAAGCTGAGATCCAAGCCATCGGTACTGGCACAGCGGAGCTGGAGGCCCACGTGGAGCAGGTCGTGCAGGCCCATAATGTTGTGGGGGTGCTGGCTTCCCCCTTTTCCATGGGGCGGTATGGGGGCTGTCGAGGGGGACGACAGCCTGGCGCTCTTGCTCCCCGTCGTTCGCGGTCAACTGGGTTGGCGGGTGGGTGCTCTGGTCAGCTGCCTGGGGGCTACTGTACCCCGGGTGGTCTGGCCCAGCCCCGGCTGCCTTCCTGGTTGTGTGGGGGCCGTGGGGGGTGAGGGTACTGCCTAAGTAACGCACTGTCCTCTAGCACATTATTCATTGGGAACAGTCACTCTGAAGCTCTCTATAAGACGTTTAGCGAAGTACTGGTGCCAAGACTTGCCACCCTGTTTAATTCGGGGATAGCGGGAGAACCTTTGTCACAAGAGATGACAGTGGCCAATATTGTGCTACCAAAGGAGGGGAAAGACCCTTAGGAGGTGGGGAGCTATAGGCCGATATTGCTGATCAATGTGGACGCGAAGATTCTGGCGACCAAATTGAAGCCCGTGTTGCAGGAACTGATCCATCCGGACCTGGTCGGATTTAACCCTGAATGCCAATTGTACGAAAATATGAGACGAGTCATAGATTTGGTGTGGTACATGGATGGGTCTTGGACACCTTCTCTGCTCCTTTCCCTAGATGCGAAGAAGGCGTTTGACTAGTTTGAATGGCCGTACTTGTTCGCGCTCCTGAAACACTGGGGATTTCCGGCCCAGTTTGTGAGGGCGGCTCGGGCCTTTTACAGGGATCTCTGGGCGCAGGTGCTGCTTCCGGGAAGCAGCAGTGCCACCTTTTCAATCTGCAATTGCACCGGACAGGGGTGCCTTTTGTCGCCCCTCCTGTCCGCCATCACGCTGGAGCCCTTTCTACAGCAGATCAGAGAGGCCCCTGAGGTAAGCGGGGTGAGGGCTGGGGATGGAGGAGTACAAAGTGGCGACTCTTTCCATAGGGAAAGCATTGGATTGACAAAAATCGGCATTGTAGTTGATCTGGTGACTATAGTGTCCCTTTAATATAAGGCTGACAGCTCAGGAGAGTATGTCTTCTCTGTTGCTCTGCTTGCTCCGCCCCTAAGAATTGTATTTTTGTGGTTGAAAATAAAGCTTTGTTAAGTCAAAAAAAATCCTGGCTCTTAACTTTTTTAGCTGGCTCCTAGATTCAAAGCAAATTTGTCAAGCCTTGTTGTATTGTGTGTGTGTGTGTGTGTGGCTAGGGCCTGTAAAGAGTGTGTGTTTAGAAGTGCTGTAACGTGTGTGTGTGTGTGGGGGGGGGGATTTGTGACAAAGTATGTGTAGGGACTGTAGAGTGTATGTTTAGGAAACAGTGTGTGTTTTTGTATACAGGGAATCTAGTGTGTGCATAGTGTATCTGCAGTGTTTATAGGGGATGTAGAGTATGTATAAGGAATGTAGTGTCTAAATGGTTGGAGGGTGTATGAAGGATGGAGTGTGTATAAGTGAGTGAGATGCAGTGTTTGTGAGGGGTACAGTGTGTATGAGTGAGTGAGTGGGATGCAGTGTTTGTGAGGGGTACAGTGTGTATGAGTGAGTGGGATGCAGTGTTTGTGTGTGTGAGGGGTACAGTGCGTATGAAGGATGCAGTGTGTATGAGTGAGTGAGTGGGATGCAGTGTTTGTGAGGGGAACAGTGTGTATGAAGGATGCAGTGTGTATGAGTGAGTGGGATGCAGTGTTTGTGTGTGTGAGGGGACAGTGTGTATGAAGGATGCAGTGTTTGTGTGTGTGAGGGGAACAGTGTGTATGAAGGATGCAGTGTGTATGAGTGAGTGAGTGAGTGGGATGCAGTGTTTGTGTGTGTGAGGGGACAGTGTGTATGAAGGATGCAGTGTGTATGGGTAAGTGAATGGAAAGCAGGGCTTGTGTGTGTGAGGGGTACAGTGTGTATTTGTGAGGGGTGAGAGTGTTGGATGGTATAGATCCTATATGTTGTGTGTGTGGGGGGTTCGGAGCAAATATGCATTTTTTATATTAAAAAATAAATAAAATACAACAAATTTAAATCCCTCTCCCTTCTTACCTTTTTCTCTGGGAGTAGGACATTGCAAGCTCTGGTGGTCCAGTGAGGAACTCCAGCCTGCAGCTCCTCTGGCTGTAGGTAGAGTTCAGTCCTCTTGTGAGCTCCTCAGAGTGTTGCCATGGTAACCCGCAGCAACGCACCTAATTAAGAGGGATGGATCAGCGCTGTAGATATCTAACTAGAAGGAGTGAAAAGAGGCTGGCAGCTAACCCCAAGAGTAGGGATCTCGCTTTTCCTACTAATGGAAATAAAACACAGAAAAAAAGAAAGAGCTAGGGGTAGCGCCACAATTTTGATACGTAGAGTGATATATACAGTATGTATTATATAATAAACAATTATATAGTTAAAAGTCCAAAATGGTAAAACAAGTCCAAGAGATAATGTAGCTATGAACTTATCAGAAGTATTTTTCTACCAAGTGTCTGGGTAATTCCTCAATGGGCGTAGCAGGGTGCGTTCAGCAGTGGAGTCTGTATGAAACAACAGAAAGGAATAATAAGGTAGTATGTTCTCACAGGGGAAAATAAAAGGAAACGATATAGTGCTACTCACGTATTATGGAGCTGTAACTTGCTCCAGTATGAATGGCATACAGTGGTACAATCCCCACTTGCAAGGATGCATGATAATGAAGTCTTTGTAGTAGGTGGACCATTAAAATAAAAAGAAACAAAAATAGGGCTCACTGAATAAAATGCCTGTAGTAAGGATAAATGGAAACCTACTCACATTTGCCAGAGCAGACAGACTGCTCTATGAATCAGGCGTGGGTGGTATAATCCCCACCAAGAATGTTTTTGGAGTAGTACTCACTGGAGATAAAAATCAGGTGCCAGGCAGTATGAGGTAAATAAAAAATGTAGAAAAAAAAAAAAAAGAGTAAAATGACACAATCTAGTAAAGTGTAAAATAAGCCAAAGTACCTTTATTCATACAATAATAAAAACACAGGTTAAAACAGCATAAATAGTAACCACCACGCATTTCGCCTCTAGGGCTTCTTCAAGTGGAGATAAAAAGGAGAGATCTAACATATGAGGGTTTAAATAGGGCAGTGTTTCCCAACCCAGTCCTCAAGGCACACCTACCAGTCCAGGATTTAGGGATTACCCAGTTGTGTCTAAGGTGTTTTTTTTTCTTCTTTGTAAAAACACCTTAGACACACCCTGTAATCCCTAAATCCTGGACTGATAGGTGTGCCTTGAGGACTGGGTTGGGAAACACTGAAATAGGGGAATGAGGGATTGTCAATTTGAAATTGGCGCCAAAACGGCTTCATTAGCATAATGATAATCTATTGTATACCTTTAAAAATTAACACTCTATATGTTGAGAGAAATGGGATTAATAGATTGGTTATATTTATATTTTAAAACGAAGCTTATATGTGATAAAAACAGATATATTTAAGTGGTCAAATTTTTTATTTTTTATTTAAATAGACAAAATAGTTCTGGGTAGATAAAAATAATAAATTAATATTTTTTAAACAGGCAAATAGTCTTAGGGAGAGACCTTACCTTGGGCCAGATGATAAAAAGATTATGGAATTTGGAAAGTGGAGGGGATATTGAAGACACAGATTTCATGATTATTAGAAAATATAGCAATATGGTTATCTTTAGAGTCCAGAATTGACGTTCTAATATATGTATAACTGTGTAAAATGGTATATTTGACTTTTACATTGTATTCGTATATAAAACATAAAATATATTTTTTAGACATGGTATACTAGGCTAAAAGGGAATAATAAGATTAAAAATAAAATACAGATAAGTACAATGAAAATAAATACATATGAACATAAAACATATGGTAAAAATGAATAAAAATATCTATAGAAATGGGAATTATCTCCATAGAATATTTGAAAAAGCATATTTAAAAAAAATAAAAATAATAAAGAACATTAAAAAGGTCAAAGTCTACATTTAATCCATTTGGGGCAAGGGTTTTTAAAAGAGAGACCCAATTGTCCCTAGTTGTCATTCCAACGTACTGGAGGCCACATGGGCACTCCAGTAGATATATAACATTTTTGGTATTGCAACATATAAGGTCTTTGATGAGGCATGTTTTTTTAGTGATATTGGATGTAGAAGTGAAGTGAGTACTAGTCCAAAGACATCATTGGTGGGGATTATACCACCCACGCCTGATCCATAGAGCAGTCCGTCTGCTCTGGCAAATGTGAGTACATTTCCATTTATCCTTACTCCTGGCATTTTATTCAGTGAGCCCTATTGTGGTTTTTTTTTTTTTTATGGTCCACCTACTACAAAGACTTCATTCTCACGTATCCTTGCAAGTGGGGATTGCACCACTGTATGCCATTCATACTGGAGCTAGTTACAGCTCCATAAAACGTGAGTAGGACTATATTGTTTTCCTTTTATTTTCCCCTGTAAGAACATACTACTCTACTATTCCTTTCTGTTATTTCATACGGACTCCAATGCTGAACCCACCCTGCTACGCCCATTGAGGAATTACCCAGACACTTGGTAGAAAAATACTTCTGATAAGTGCATATCTATCTCTGGGACTTGTTTTACCATTTTGGACTTTTAACTAAAGAATTTGTTTATTATATAATACATACTGTATTTATCACTGTACATATCAAAATTGTGGCGCTACCCAATGCACCGAATTGCCTATCTTGGATAATTGTCTGTTTGATAATTGTTAATAGCTCTGATCTTTGATCCTTTCATCTGCAATGTGTGTTCTGTATTGTGACTTCATTTGCTAAATCGTCCATATAAAATGTTAACAAAAACAGAGTGTATCAAGGAAAAAAGTTAACAAAAATTTATGACATTTCAATGTTTTATTCAGTAGTGTATTTAAGCCAGGAATACGTCATTTGTCATACAGACACAAAGATATGCATATTGCACTTCCATCACGCCAGGTTTGTAGGTGTAACTTACCAACAGGCTCTCCTACCTTCTTTCACATTTGTCATGGCTGAGAACACTGCTTTAGGCATTAATCTCCATTACCAGATATTTAGACCCATTATTGAAGGTTTATTGCAACAGTCCCAAACAATGCCTTTCAGACAAAATGAGCTCACTTTATTACATACTGCCTTTTAGAAGTGCATTACTGTGACCTCGCTAACGGGTAATGATGGGGCTAAAATGCGGTACTGTGAGTTCTCTGGCTCAGCAGTGAACGGGTTAAACACATTTTTGCTCAGCCACAAAAATATTAAAATCTGCGTTACTGTGCATTTCCATGCCTGGCAACGAAAGGATTAAATGCGCATTACGCTCAAAATCTTATGGATTTACTAAGAGAACACACTGAGTGACCCACAATCACCACCATCACCCACAAAAGAAAAACAAAAATAGTAGAAATAAAATGGTTTAAAAAAATGTATTCTATCTTCTCACAAGAACAAAACCGGCCTAACGTGTTTCAGATTGAGATATCTTTGCTTTTATATCAGCTCATAGATATGGGAGTACACGCACTGCATGCAGTTATGGTTATCAAATCTCCATATCTACTTTCTCCCAAACAGTGGCAGGTCTGGATCCAAGACAGAGGTTTAGGGGTTTACTAATAACGCATGCTGTCCAAAGAGGATGTAAAGATGCCTTTTATGGAACACCTGAGAGCAAACCCATGACAGCAGCACAGGGCCCTGAATTCAGGACTGCCCTGCCAAACACGGGACTGTTGGGAGGTATGAATTCATGCAGGACACCAATGATTTCTGCGTACTGTAATCAAACAGGTAAATTATGGCACATTCAAACCTGGGCTTTTTCACTGTGAATTGTCAGAAATTCAAATTGTGAAAGTAAAAACGTAGCTGGTTTTCTAATTTAGTTATGTTTGTCTAATTATTCCACTCTGAATTCACCCATCACAGTTTAGTGAATAAACCATGAATGGGGGGGATTAAAGAAAAAATTACACATTTAAAACAAAAAAGAAAAATATCAAGAATCATTGTCCATCTCAGAAATTTGGGGCTAAATTGTACAAATCTCTTTGCTCATTTCCTGGTTTAATGACTAATTATGTATCAGATTACTCCCCACCCACAATAATGCTGCTGTCTGCTGGCAGGTTTTATATTTTCTTATAATTAATTCTAAACACTGAGTGACCCACAATCACCACCATCACCATCACCTTATTAAATAAACCACCACCACCTTATTAAATAAACCATCACCACCTTATTAAATAAACCATCACCTTATTAAATAAAGCCCCTATTCCCAGAGGAAGCAGCACAGCTCATCTCTTTATATTATGCAGATTAGAACAAGACACTAAATATCCGTTTGCGTTATTTTGTTTCTATTTTGTTACCTCTGTTTGTAATCCAGCAGCCCCAATACATGGAGAGGGAGGGACCTTGGTCTCCGGGAAAATGGAGGCTACAGTGATGTATCCAGTAAAGAAAACAGTGCTTATCCAGGGTCTTCAACAAAATGGCGGGTCCACCAGGACTGCTCTGCCTTTAGTTTTACACTCACAGGCTGGGGAGGGGAATCTCACTTCCTGCCTGTCATTAAAAGGGGAAGGGAGGATATTATAATGTTATATTTACTGAAAGCCTGTGGTTTCTGGTTTTCTGGTTTGTTCTGTTTCAATCTGCCAGCACAGTGTGTGTATTTGGAAATATAATAAATAATGTTACCCCACCTGTCTGCATGTGGGGATTTAGCAAATGGAAACTACAAAAATTACCATGACAAACAGTTAAATCTGGGGAAATAAATATATTTGGTCTCCGTTATGCACGTTAGAAGGGGGGTATATAGTTTGGTGGTCATACACGTTTCTGTTTGATAAAACTGCATGAGAAAAATTACTTTTCTCGTAAATGTTTCTCAACGGGAAACAAGTGATAGTCAGAGAATATCAACGGACGCCCAGTCCAAGGCTTGAGGTCAGGGGCCGAGGAGAAATGGGCTGAGCTGACCGGCACCGTCTGGGCAACTTTGGGGTTAAACCGTTTGTAAACTGTATAACCCTTAAAGGGACACTCTAAGTACCATAGGAACTTTAGCTTAATGAAGTGGTTATAGTGTATAGACCATTCCCCTGCAGTGTCACTGCTCAATTCTCTGCCATTTAGGAGTTAAATCACTTTGTTTATACAGCGTAGTCACACCTCCCCAGACATGTTATTTATAAAGTCTCTGTAAAGACTTCGTGTAAAGAGACAGATTTTTTTTCTTCTTCAATGTGTGTAAAACTAGAAAACCAACAGAAACTGGTACAGGAGACAATTTAGAATGTCAGTTCCTCAGTCCTTCAAGCCGTTGAATTATTTTCACGTGTTTACTGGGGCAAAGTGAACAACAGAAGTACACATACCTCTGTACCACTTATTGGTGCAGGTGGTGGCATTTTCCCAGCTGTGCACTCCGGTATATATATTGGAATTGTCCATATAAAAGAGTGCCCATGCATTTGTACCATTGTGCTGCACGCATAGCACCATGGGAGTCAAGATTATTTGCATCGTATGCCTTGAACACAGTATAATGGAATAAAATAAAACTAACCATTTGGATTAAAAAAATATATATATCAGAGAAGCAAAAGTCCCACTTTATCTGTAACACGATAATGTCATGTAATATTATTATTATAATATTATTTATATAGCGCCATCAGATTCCGTAGCGCTGTACAAATTTAGTGAACATTAATACTGAAATTTTTTATTTTTTTTCACAAACACCCACACACTGATATGACCACTCATTCTTAAAGGTACATTATAGTCAACAAAACAACTTTAGCTGTCATTTAGGAGTTAAATCCAGTGACGGAACTACTGCCGGTGCAGCTGGTGACTTAGGGTCAACTGATGGGTATGGTTCCTTTATTAAACAGGTGCCCGGCCACGCACAGTGGCCCTTTAAGAGCACGACCGGGCCCCTGTGATATCTGCCGGTTGGCAGGAAGTGACAGCAGGTCACTTCCTTCCAGCTTCTTACTGAGCCTGCCTTGTGGGGGGAAGTAGGCACAGGCAGCATGGGGAGTTGGGACAATTGCTGCAGCAGACCCCTCAGCCAGCAGCAGCCACTGGCGGATCCAGAGCCTTATCTCAGCGGACTGGGGGGGGCAATTGCCCTGTTGCCCCCCCCACCCCCTGGATCCACCACTGGCAGCAGCAGGACTCCCAGCAAACCACCCTCCTGGAAACGAGAGGAATGTTAGCAGGAGTGTGGCTGCAAATATAAAAATCGACATTTATGTGTTTATGTCAGATTGAGTGTATCTGTGTCACAGTGTGTTTGTCTGTGTGTCAAGATGTGTATATCTGTGTGTCAGGGTGTGTATCTTTGTGTCTGTATTTGTATGTGTAAGTATGTATATATGTGTATGTATATCTGTGTAAGTATGTAGATCAGAGTATGCATCAGTGTGTCAGAGTGCAAGTGTATGTCAGTGTCCAGTGTGCGTGTGTCAGTATGCATCTATCTGTGTGTCAGGGTGCGCATCTTGGGTGTGTGTATATGTCAGTGTGTGCATGTGTTAATTAATTTTTTGAGTATCTGTCAGTGTTTATATGTCTGTATCTGTATGTTAATGTGTATGTATACCTGTGTAAGAGTATGTTTTTGGCAGTGTATGTGTGATTGTGCATACTTCCAAGCTATTAAACACCAACACATCCTGCAATCTAACACAAACATTACATGCAAACACACCCCTGCATTCAGGGCCGCCATCAGGGGGTGACAACCATAACGGTTGTCACGGGCCCGGCGGCCCTGGGGGGCCCGGCCACCCGGGTCCCACGTGGAGCGGCGAAACTGCCGCAGGTGCATCTGCACCAGGGGCCATCCGATAGGCCCTATATCTTCAGACCGGGCCCCTTTAAAAAAAAAAAAAATTGCGGCTACGCCGCAAGTGCTGCTGGGAGGAAGTGACGGCCGGTCACTTCCTCCCAGCTTACTGCGCGCAGGAGGAGAGCAGAGGGAGGGCGGAGGACAGGAAAAAGGAGAGGAGAGAGGCATCCGCTCGCTCCCATCATCCCCAGCCACCCTCCTGCAACTTAAAGGTAAGAGGAGGGTGGCTGATAAATGAGGTGTGTGTGTGTATATGTATGTATGTCTGTGTGTGTATGTATGTCTGTGTGTATGTCAGTATGTGTATGTATATCTGTGTGTGTGTATGTCAGTATGTATGTATGTCAGTGTGTGTATGTCAATATATCTGTATGTATGTGTGTATGTATGTCGGTATGTATATATGTCTGTGTGTGTATGTCAGTATGTGTGTATGTATGTCAGTGTGTGTATGTCAGTGTGAAGAAAATTGACTTTTATTTGACATTTTCTTCTTTGCTCTGTCTTTTTCCTGTTTATTACATGTATATTGAATATATTGGTAAGGTAGTTTGAAACTACCGAACACCGACCCCCCTCCTGGCTCATTAACTACAAAGGAACCATCTATTAAGTGCTCCCTGGGCGGCCGCTGCTCGTATAGCCGAACGCCACGTGGAATAGAAGTCGGCGGCCATCTTGTTCACACGAGGGGAGTCAGCGGGACTTGGTCGTCGAGTGTCTGGAACTAAAACCGGACACTCGATCTCCCGAACCACCGTTGAAACTACCGAACGCCGGCTTCCTTTACTTCCCGAACAGCCAGGAGAGCGCCATTCGGTAGTTCTGTGCGAACGGACAAGGGGAGCAATCGCTCCTATGAGCCAGGAAGATCCATTCGGGACTTTGTTTGGTTTTGTACCTGTTTCTGAATTGACCGACCGCACACGCTGAATTCGTGGAACTGTTTTGGGCAGGAGCCGTGTGTGTGGTCGGTAAAAGGTACCCTCCATACTTTTTAAGAACCCCCTGAACCGATCTGGGTGAAATTTGGATATGTTTGTCCCCCAGATCTGGGCTATCAGAATAAAGACAACTGGTGAATGGCCCAGCAATACGAGAAACTAAAAAGGACTACACTAAAGGATATGCTGGAAGCCCGAGGTCAAGTGGCCAGCAACAAAAAGAAAGCTACCCTCATGGCAGAACTAATGGAGGGCGACCAAACCAGCAGCATGGCGAATGTCAGCCAGGAGGAAGCAGAATTCCAACAGAAGATGATGTGGAGGCTAAACTTATATGGGCCAAATCTCACACCTGAGATGGTGACGCAAGTCCTGGCACAAGTGAGCGCAGAACGCAGAGCACAGCAGGCAAGCTTGAACCAAGGAGACAACGCTTCCCTAACTGGATCTATAAATGGAGGGCAGCGGAGAAAGATTAATTACGCTGCTTTTAAAAGTTTCTCGGATGGAGAGATGGAAATTGACGCATGTTTACAGGATTTTGAGCGTCAATGCGCTTTGGAGGGTCTGGAATCAGAGCAATGGGCTGCGATTTTAAGCAGCAAGCTCACAGGCCGAGCAGCGGAGGCGTACCGAGCAGTTCCTGACACAGCCATACACGACTACGCCAGAGTAAAGGACATTCTGCTAGCCAGGTATGCCGTGACCCCAGAGACTTACAGGAAAAAGTTTCGGGCATTACGGAAAGGGGGCCGGGACTCCTACACCGAATGGGCCTTTAGGATGTATCGGGCAGCCCAAAACTGGAGACAAGGCTGCCAGGCCACAACGCTAGAGGAGGTGCTGCAACTCCTCTTGCTAGAACAATGTTTTGACCATACACCTGCAGACACCAGGGACTGGGTCAGAGACAGGAAGCCGACCACAGTCGAGGAAGCGGCCAAGCTAGCAGACGAACATCACAAAGGAAGAAAAGGAGAAGCGGGTGGAAACCGTCCTCTGGTAAGGTACAGCGCCCCAACGCCAGGTCCTGTGGCCAACCCCAAACCCGGTACCACCCACGACACAGCCTAATTTTAACAGGAGAACCCAATTGGTATGTCACCAGTGCAATCAGCCAGGGCACTACAAAATACATTGCCCTCAGCGGAGCAGAGGCAACTGGGAGCGGCCCCCACCACCACCAAGGGCCGCCGCTCACCATTATCAACATGAACCCCTGGAAGAGCACAGCCTGGATTTGGAGCAATGGGCCGTACTACATGAGGTGAACCTAGCCCAAGCCGAGGGGGACAACCGGGTACACCACAGACAATGGGTCACCATAGATGGAAAAGAGGCAGAGGCGCTACGAGACTCTGGGGCCACCCTTACTTTGGTGCAGCCTCACACCGTGTCTGCAAAGGCACTCACCAACAAGACTGTGGCCGTAAGAGTGGCAGGAGGCCATCCACAAGTTACCCACAGCCCGGGTACAGTTAAATTGGGGCACCGGAGCCAAGCAGAAAGAGGTGGGCATTATGTCAGGACTAGTTACATAGTTACATAGTTACATAGCTGAAAAGAGACTTGCGTCCATCAAGTTCAGCCTTCCTCAGAAATGTTGTTGCTGTTGATCCAAAAGAAGGCAAAAAACCTGGTCTGAAGCACTTCCAATTTTGCCACAAACTAGGAAAAAATTCCTTCTTGACCCCAAAATAGCAGTCAGATGTCTCCTTGGATCAATCAGCTATTACCCCACTAATTAGAAATTATATCCCTGTATGTTATGTTTTTGTAAGTATTTATCCAATTTCAGTTTAAACATCTGTATGGACTCTGACAAAACCACCTCTTCAGGCAGAG